AAAAAAATAAATCAAAAATAAAATAAAAAATAATAAAAATAAAGAAATGGAGTAACAGGTCCCTCCGTAGACCAGAGGCTTCCCTCCAGGGTACTCCCTCCCCACCCCCAACCTGGTTGTTGAGTTCTAGTCCCCACCTCCTCATTCTCCATCCTCCTGCCCACCTCTCCTGGGCTGCCTTAGAAACTCATTCCTTTCCTTGTTAGGCAGAGTAATTTGGTTGTCCAGGGTTTTATTTCCTTCCTCCCAGTTTTAATTTGCATATTCAAAAACTCATTAAGACAGTCTGTAAACAAATGACCCACGCCCTACTGCATGCAGTCTCCTTTTCAGCAGTTCAAAAAGAAATTTAAAAAAATAAGCCGGGCGCGGTGGCTCATGCCTGTAATCCCAGCACTTTGGGAGGCCAAGGTGGGTGGATCACAAAGTCAAGAGATCAAGACCATCCTGGTCAACATGGTGAAACCCCGTCTCTGCTAAAAACATGAAAAATTAGCTGGGCATGGTGGCGCGTGCCTGTAATCCCAGCTACTCAGGAGGCTGAGGCAGGAGAATTGCCTGAACCCAGGAGACGGAGGTTGCGGTGAGCCGAGATCGCGCCATTGCACTCCAGCCTGGGTAACAAGAGCGAAACTCTGTCTCAAAAAAAAAAAAAAAAGAAAAAGAAAAAGAAAAAGAAAAAAAAAGAAATAAAAAAAAATAATAATGGCAGAAGATTGGAAATTCCAGTGTTCTTTAGAACATGACTGTATTTGTTGTTGAGTTTTTTTGTTTTTTTGTTTTTTAAGATGGGGTTTCACCATGATGGCCAGGCTGGTCTTGAACTCCTGACCTCAGGTGATCCACCCACCTTGGCCTCCCAAAGTGCTAGGATTACAGGCGTGAGCCACCGTGCCTGGCCAAGTTTCTCAATAACATAAATCATATCATACCCACCCTAGAAGGCAAGTAAAGTTCACTTTTATCTGTATTTGTTTTAAACAACAGTTGCTTTCACTTGCTGTATACAAGTTGATGGTAGAAATCATTACACACAGATATGTCCTGATTTGCACAGAACGGTCTAGTTTAGACCTGTTGTCCCAGCATAACTACTAATCACATCTCCTTCACTTCAAACGTGTCCTGGTTCAGACCATAAACTAAATAAAATGGCCACCCCCTACTGAAGCAGTCCGCGCTGGCTGTTCGTAGCTCTTTGATTGTCAGGCATAGCCCAGGAATTTTCTCCTTCACCATCTTATGCCTGGACCACACCTAACAACGGTTAAAGACTTAAAACGGCATTTAGCAATTGCTTTAACGACTGCCAGCCATTGGCAGGGAGGAAGATATCCCGAAGAACAAAGGGAAAAATACAGTTTGTGCAAGAGAATGGCAGGGAACTTACATATTACTTCTGATTGGCATACAAAGGAACTGAATGGCCACCCTTGAATCTATATGTATGTTTGTTTATGCAGCTACTGTAAGGGTCATTGCTGAGTTTAAAATGAGGAAACTGAGGCCAATATAAGAAAATTAAATGCCAATTTATTCAGCTCCCAGGCGAGGTTCTCTGGTGGAGGGAAAGGGGGCCAGAGAAGTCTCGCGGACTTCCTGGGGCATGGGGTTTTTACGGCTAGGAGGACCGAGCAACAGCTGGGTGCTCTGATTGGGTCCAGGGGAGCAGGATTGAGATGGGGCAGGCCGCTATTGGTTGGCGGGTTTTTGGGCAGGTTTTTCCTGTGCGAGAGCTGGCCAGGGTTGCATTAGCCGGAGCCTTCCAGGGGGGAGCCTTCCAGGGGAGCCATGCAGCAGAGCTAGGTGCCCAGTGCAGAGCCTGGTGCCGGGTGCAGAGGTGGGTGTGTCTGGCCTTACAGCTACTATTTATGCATCTGCTATCTATCTGTCTATCCATCTACCTATCCAAACATCTGTCTACATCTATCATCTCAAGCTGTGTCACAGTTTAAATACTTAACTCTGAGAAATAATCTAAGGAGGAACAAGCCCAGAACGTTAGAGCTGGAAGAAACTTTAGATGTCATCTCATCGCACAGGGACACTTAGGTGAGTCACACACAGCTTGAGGCTTAGTAAAGACTTGAACTTGCGTCTTCTGCCCCCGCCATCCCCCCTCACCAGGGCTTTCCTTGGCCCTATGCTTCCCTCTTGATTCTGTGTGCCATCATCACGTCACTACCAAGGGGAAGGAAGAAATGCAGCCCAAAGTGAGAGAGTCTTTTTCTTTCTAGCATTGTTGAGTATTGATTAACACACAGGTTATGAAATCGGACAGATGGGGAATCAAGTCCTAATTCGGTCCTTGCAAGAGAAGTGACTTGGGGTAACTTTCTAAGTCTTTGTGTCATTTACAGAGTTGTAATTGTGATGAGGTTTAGATAAGATAACATGTAAAAACATTTAGCATCCGATAAACAGTGATCATTTTTCTTCCTTTCAATGAGACTTTTTCTCTCACATCTCGAGGGTCTTGGAGGGCTTTCCTTTTTCTGGCATCTTTTAGAGTAAGAATGCACTAACTCATTATTTGCTCCTATTCAAAGAAAGACTACCCAAAGTGTGATCCACACAGCAGATCAAATGAGTCCCAAAGATTTAGAAAGAACTATAGGCAGGAGGCAGGAAGCCTGAGGCCTGGGTCTAAGCACAGCTGCAGCGTGAGGTCACTGAGTGTCCTGGGACACTCCACGTCCCTTCTCTGGGCCTTGGCATCCTGCTCTGTAAAGTTGAAGGCATTAAACTTGACCTCGGATGTTCCTGCCAGCTCGGGAAGCCCACATTTCCTCGTCTTTTTCATCCCATGCTTGCCTGTCCTGGCTATTTATAACAACCTTCCAGGGCTTGCTAGAAGAAAGAAAAGAAGTCCCATTGGCTGACCGTGATACTGACTGACTAATTAAACAAGTGACTAGGATTCAAGATCACACCCTTGCCTGTTACCAAAGATGGAGGGAAGGAGGCTTATTCAAAAGAACAGAGAGCTTGCCTGGACCACAGCCACTTGTATATTGGGTCCTCCCTTATGGAGGGAGTGGACACAGAAAACCATGCTTCCAGCCATGACCTTGTACATACGGCTTATGTGACCTCTGGCAAGTCACTTGCCTTCTCTGAGTCTCATTTTCCTCATCTCTTAAAAAAAAAAAAAAAAAAAAAAATTGAATAGAGGATGGCGTGAGATTTCCACAAGATGGAAAGGTAGCAGGGACCCGTCCAGTGCTGGGGTGTGGAGTGTGGTTTGAGAATGCTTCTAAAGGACAGCTGTCTGGGGTTTGGGGAGTAGGCAGCTGTCATATGAAAGACTCTGGGCCAGGCGCAGTGGCTCACGTCTGTAATCCTAGCACTTTGGGAGGCCAAGGCAGAAGGATTGCTTGAGCCCAGGACTTTGAGACCAGCCTAGGCAACATGGTGAAAGCCCATCCCTACCAGAAATACAAAAATTATTCAGGCGTGGTGGCACACGCTTGTAGTCCCAGCTTCCCCGGCGGGGTGGGGGGGAGGCCGAGGTGGGAGAATGGCTTGATCCCAGGAGGCAGAGGTTGTGGTGAGTCAAGATCGCACCACTGTACTCTGGCCTGGGTGACAGAGCCAGACCCTGTCTCAAAAAAAACAGACTGAAGGGAACTGTGGTGTTTACATCGGGGCCTCTCGATCAGTGATGATTCTGTCACCCTTCTCCTACCCAGTGGAATGTCTGGCAATGAATGTCTGGAGACATTTTTGGTGGTCACAACTGAAGAGCTTTCCCTGGCATCTAGTAGCTAGCGGCCAGGGAGGCTGCTAAAGATTCTGCAATGCCCAGGACAGCCTGTCAACATGCTCACAATGCCAGGGGGTGGGGAGGCAGGGAAGGGTTGTTGCTGGGTGATATGTGGATTTTCCAGTGCTTGGCACAGTGGCAGGTACTGAATAGGTGTGGGTTGCATTGATGTCATCGGGAAGCAGGAACTCCCTTGTTGGATGACATCATCGGGCAGTCTGTACCCAGGGGCGAGGATGAAGGAAGATAAGTGAGGCATTTCTCGCCATCACCCCACTGTGGAACAGGCCACCTTGCAAGGAAGTGAACATCTCTCTGGAGTGTCTGAGCAGAAGCAGGGTGCCTGTTGGCCAGTTATGCTTGGGAACGGAGTCTGCCATTGGACAGGGAGGCGGGTCGCAGGTTAGGGGCCCTCTGAAGACCTGAGTTCTGAGATTGATGAGTTCAGATCCAGAAGAGGCCTCAGAGATCATGGAGTTTAACTCCTTCATTTCTGCGGTGGAAAAAAAGCATGTGAAGAGAAGATAGGAGGCTTGTCTGAGATCCCCTCGCTGCTTAGATGTGCTGCTGCAACTGAATCCCTGGTGTCTCAATATCCGTGCAAATGTTCTTCCTGCTTTCCCCACTGACTGTGTGATTCCAAGAAGGAAACCGAAGAGCTGGAGTTTGCAGCCCTTTCTAATTCTGAAGCCAGGCGTTGCAAATGTGGCTTGATGCGCAACTGGGCTAACACATTGGCTTGGATTTCTGGATAAGGGTACAATAAGGAGCATGAATATTGGTCTCGATAATAAGTGCATCTGCCCCAGCTCAGGGGCTGCTCCTAGATGGAGTTCCCTCTTCTACCCTTACTCAGTGGCACCTCCTCTGTGGAGTCCCTCCGTGGTAAATCCTTGTACACAAGGCACACAGCTGTGTGCTCATCAGAGTGGGTGCATGTGGTCCAGTCCACGGCCTCTCTTGGATTCACCTTCTCACAATATATTGCCCTCTTTCCTACCCTATAGAGCCTCACCCCAACTCCATCAGCCAGAAAGGAATTTTAAAAGTCGCCATGCCATCCCCTGTCCCGCTTTCCCCAGGTCCATCACTTGTTGTCAGATTCATCTCCAAACCTTCGGTGTCCCTCCCAGGGCCTGGTGTATGGGCGATACTATTCAGTGTTCGTTGAATGAATGAATGAGCGCATGAATGACTGGATGCCTGGTGAGCCTCCCTGTCTTGGCCCCTGCAGATCAAGGACGTCGTGGGTTATAACTCTTTGGGTCACTGCTTCTTCACGGAAGACGGGCCGGAGGAACGCAACACCTTTGACCACTGTCTTGGCCTCCTTGTCAAGTCCGGAACCCTCCTCCCCTCAGACCGTGACAGTAAGATGTGCAAGACGATCACCGAGGACTCCTATCCGGGGTACATCCCCAAGCCCAGGCAGGACTGCAAGTAAGTGCCTGGACCCCTCTCTGTGTGCCGGGGGAGGGCGTGTGCATGTGGGAGCGTGCGTTCACTCAGCTCAGCCCAGCCCCAGACTTCTGCGCCGCAGGGCTCTGCGCAGCCCTTAACCACCTACTGCTCCAGCTCCCTGCAGAGCAGGCGGGAGGGTGTCTTCTCCCTTCTCCCTTCTCAATTTGCCTCATGTGCATTTTTCTTGTCCAAAGAGAGCCCCTGTTCTCGTCTGTGGGGCTTCTCCTGATCCACACGGTGCTCTTTGATGAGAGGAAGCGGCTGCTACGTCGGCTTTCACAGAGGACCCCACCACACAGACCCTTTTCTAGTTAGAAGAGAGAGAGACGGACGCGGTGCAGCTAGTCTTCCCAGTGCAGGACCCCTCCCTTCAAAAGGGCTACGTTCCCGGGTTCTTCTGACCTAACATATTTTAGAGCCACTCTGACATCATTCGCACACAGCTTCTATTTTCAAGACCCGTGCTCTTTTTAATTTCTGAACATTTTAAGTGCTTAAACTAACACCACACTTTAATGAGAACACTGGGTTTCAGATCAACAAAGCAATGATTTCTCAAATATTTGACAAGAGACTCTCAGGCCAATATCAGAGTGCCCGACCTGCACCCACCGTGAGGCAGGGTGACCCGTGGTGGCCCTTTATCTGACCTCGGATATCTCTGCCCTCCCTGCAGCGCCGTGTCCACGTTCTGGATGGCCAATCCTAACAACAACCTCATCAACTGTGCCGCTGCAGGATCCGAGGTGAGCAGAAATATCCCTTCTCTGGTAGAAGATGAGGGTAGGGGCCGGAGGCAGGGAGACAGCTGAGGTGTACCCTGAAACATGTGTGCTCTGAGCCCCAAGTCCAGACATCCATGCAGACAGGCTTAGCTGCAGTGAAGGAAAAGAACAGACTGGGAGTGGTGGGTTGGGGGCGTCCTTTGAACTTGGTTTTTAAGGACAGCCCTGTCACTTCATAATACCGGTGACCACAGTTAGCCCTGAACAATTTATGTAGAATAAATCATATTAGAATGCCATGATTTTAGCTTAGAATGGTACCTGACACATCAGTGTTGTAAGCTCACATAATTTGATTTTTGCAAGAACCTGGTGACGTCGGTGCTATTATTAACCCCCTATGATGTGGGAGGAAGCTAAGGCTAGGAGTCCTGACATGCCCGGGACACACACAGTTGGGAGGCGGCAGCCGGGGTGGCGGCACAGCGCTCCATCCACATAGCCCTGCTGTGACCCACCCCGTCCATGGCCTTCCATGGGACGCTGACCTTGACCTGGGACTCAGCTTCCTTATCTGTAGAATGAAAGGGGCAGGCAGAGAACACTCACGAAATCCCCTCATCATGTGTAGAGAGGAAGAGTTTGAGCCCTGCTGTGATTGACACACGTCAGTTCTGAGCCGTGTCTGATAGAGTAGGAACCCCTGCAGGGCTTTAACTGTCATGGTGGGCTCTGCTTTAAACTGTCTTCCTTCCAGACCGGACCAATGGGAGGTGTGCTGGGGTGGGCATCGAGGGCCTACGTGGTGCTGGCGCTAGGTGCTAGACCCGCCCTTCAGGGTGGGCTGTGCGGCCGCCTGGCTCAGGAGCTCTCCGGGGCTGAACGCTGTGGCTTTCCCCTTGCGTCCTTCCCCACAGGAAACGGGCTTTTGGTTCATTTTTCACCACGTACCGACGGGCCCCTCCGTAGGAATGTACTCCCCAGGTTACTCAGAGCACATTCCACTGGGAAAATTCCATCACAACCGAGCACATTCCAACTACCGGGTAAGTCTTTCCAGACTGCGCCTCTCTGGCCAGCCTCTCGGTCCCCTTCCGAGGCCTGCAGATGATTAGAGCCGGGGTGGCCAGTTGGCGACAGCTGGGAACAACTGCCTTCTTTTTTTTTTTTTTTTTTTTTTTTTTTCCAGTAAAGATGGGGTTTCACCATGTTGGTCAGGCTGGTCTTGAACTCCCGACCTCAGGTGATCCCCCCGCCTTGGCCTCCAAAGTGCTTGGATCACAGGCATGAGCCACTACGCCCAGCCACAAGTGCCTGCTTAATGTTGGTCTCGAAGAAGATGGAGCAGCCTTTCGAGGCCTCTCAGGCCATTGGCAGAAGGAAACGGAGATGTGGTTCTGAAGGGAGGGGGAGGCAGCCCTGGCATGCTCTCTGCCGTTCCCTCTTGCCTTGTTTCTTGGGAAATGAATGAGGTGCTGCATCTGCACAGAGCTAAGTGGCCAGGTGGGACACACAGTCCCCAGTCATCTTCCTTTGCTCATCAACATGTCCTAAGCACCTGTTGTTGGGTCTAGCACCAGGGGGTGCTAGGCACTGGGGGGACAGAGGGCATCCCAAGGTGACCGGGATCTTGAGTCTGTCAAGAACGTCCCAGCAAGGATGGCAGTCAAAACCAGAGTCGTGGGGCATGGGAATGGAGCTTGGAGCATAGCTGAGACCAGAGACGCTGTTTGTGAGGGCAGAGGTAGTCTCAAGGATGCCAGGGCAGTATGCAGGGAGGCTCCCAAATGCCTAGGGGGGTGTTCTGGTTGAGTCCCTAATGGCACCGATGAAGAAACTGACACTCCTCAAGGGGCACAGATACATTCAGAGTCAAAAAGTAAAAGGATGAAAAAAGCCCAACCAGAGAGGAGACAGAAAGGGAGCATGTCTCAGAATAGACCTGTGCTTACACCTACGAGATGGGGTGAGTTGGGGGGCTGGGTGGCAAAGACAGAAGAGTCGTCTCTGGGCAGTGTTGTATCCCAGGAACTAGGAAAGAGGGCAGTGTCATGGGGCAGGGCACAGAGGTGGGGAGGACAACAGTCTCGCCCTGACAGAGGAGAATTCGAGCGAGGTGTCAGAGAGGGCGTTTCTGAGGCTGACACGGACCTCAGAGAGCTGTCTCCATGCAGAGGCAGGTGCAGGGGCGTATCACTGTTGGTGGCCGGGGGAACAGTGGAGAGCATATGTTGGCTGCTTGTTAAGACATCCCCGATACCCACCGCTTGGGAAGGCTTCCCGTGAGCAGGGAGGTGGGCCGCACGGAACCAAGCAGGTGTGGAGAGGCCGGAAAGCGGGGAGTGCCTGTGGGTGGATGGTTTCCAACACGCAGGCATGCAAGGGCTCACGGGTGCACGCAGAGGCGAGCCTTGCGGAAGGGAGCAGGTCTCGGTCTCCGAGGTAGGGAGGGAAGGAGTGAAGAGGAACCTCCAGCTGCGTTGATGCCATTGTCTGAGCCAAGGAGGAGGCCCCATCCTTGGTGTTTATGCCCAGTAAGCCTTGACTCCACATCCACACGGAGAGGGACCCGTCCCAGGAAGCGTCACCTGGGGTCCTCGCAACCATCATGTGATGTAGGTGTTACCAGCCCATTTTGCAGACACGATGACTGAGGCTAAAGAAGGGAAGGGACTTGCCCAGTCGTAGTTAGTAGGAGTGGAGAGCTTCGAGTCAATCCCACATCACCTGACTCACATCGCTGCTGCCCAGTGATAAGCCAGCTGGAGAATGAATGGCCACAGTGCCCGCCAGTTACCTAAAGAAGAGAAACCCGAGTCTGAGTGTTCACAAGAGGCTAAGAGGATCCAGAAAGGAGTGAAGACTGAACGGTGGCCTCCCTGGGCGGCACCATGCAATTTCTCCCTGCCCCACAGCTGACAAAGGGGACATGTTTGGAGTCAAACAAGAAAGCCAGATTCTCTCTTCAAGTCAGGCAGGAGCTAAAATGAGACCGTAGGAAGGTCACTGACCCCCGCCCAAGGTAAAGACAGGACTTAGGTTCAGCGTTCCCTTTAAATCACAGCTGATACATTTCCTAAGCGTGAACACCTGTTGCTGACCTGAGGCCTGGGCTGATAACCGTCCAGAGCAGTGTGGGTTCCACACGTGAACTGTGCCATGCGGCCCTGGACAAGACACCTGCCTCTCTAGACTGCAGTTTCCATATCTGCTCCTCAAAGAGGTCAAATATTCCAGATTTGGGCCGGGCGCGGTGGCTCACGCCTGTAATCCCAGCATTTTAGGAGGCCGAGGCGGGTGGATCATGAGGTCAAGAGATCGAGACCATCCTGGTCAACATGGTGAAACCCCGTCTCTACTAAAAATACAAAAAAATTAGCTGGGCATGGTGGCGCATGCCTGTAATCCCAGCTACTCGGGAGGCTGAGGCAGGAGAATTGCCTGAACCCAGGAGGCGGAGGTTGCGGTGAGCCGAGATCGCGCCATTGCACTCCAGCCTGGGTAACAAGAGCGAGACTCCGTCTCAAAAAAAAAAAAAAAAAAAAAAAAAAAAAAAAAAAAAAAAAAAAAATTCCAGATTTGGTCTGAGCCATGCAGAATAAGGCAGCGTCTTCACCTCCCTCACTGTAGATCCTCTGCTTCTGTTGATGCAGCCTGAGAACAGAGCTGGTTCTCCTGGAGCATTCAGAAGTATGCAGTGAGGCTGGGTGTGAGAAGATGCCTGTAGCCCACAGTAGAAGCTAATGTGTCCCTGAATGTCTCTTCCCTACAGGCTGGCATGATCATAGACAACGGGGTCAAAACCACCGAGGCCTCTGCCAAGGACAAGCGGCCCTTCCTCTCTATCATCTCTGCCAGGTAATCAGCCATCGGGAAGACACAGTCCATGGTGACCTTGCGGTCCAGCTCCTGCCTCCCCCTCCTTCAGCCACTCATTCATTCATTCACTGCTGTTGAGCTCTTGGTTTGTGCTGGGCATTGAGCTAGTTGCTGGGGGTACAATGGTGAAAACTTGAGCAGGGTAAAGTCTGAATTAGGATTCCGGCTCCAGTAGCCAAAGGAAGATAGAAATTCCCAGAGGTTTTTAGATCCCACAGCAACGTGAATACCTGGTAAGTCGGCAGAAACGAGCGTCGCCACAAGATGTTGGGCCGGGATGAAAGGGTGAAGAGAATAGAAGGGAAGAATTTCACCGTCAATTTAATGGGAAAGAATATGCAGGTCATGCCTATAAATCAACCTGCTGTTCAGGCAAAGGCCAGGGGCAACTTTTAAAAGGTACTTTTGAAACCTCAAGGTAATTAGCAAAAACAATCCCCTTTAAAGAGACAAGTTGCTTGGTCTCCATCAAAAGTGGGTAACACTGATAACACGATCGTGCACTCTGTTTTGTAACTACGAAGTCCCCAGGAGAGGCACTAGTTCGAGGTGATCTGCCAGTTAGTGGAAGAGCTGGGTGTCCCCAGACTCTCCTGCTGGGCCACTGCGTTGCATGCGCTGCTGGGACTGGCTGGCTGAACCCTCCTCTGTGCTTCGACTCCCCTTGGGGGCAGGCTCTTCGGTAGTACTGACAAACAAGAAAGGTGCCCTGTTTATAGCCCGCGTGGGCTGGTCCATGGAGGAGAGACCTCTTGCGTCTCTGATGAGCTCAGAAGGTTCATTCAATGAGAATGGGTTTCTGTGTAGTCAGTGCCTTCCTGGGCACTGTGAGTAGAGAGAGGCTCACAGAGCCCAGAAGGGAGTCAGCAGAGGTGTGGCCCCGACACCGCCACCTGTGCCCTCCCCATGGTGTGCTGCAGGTACAGTCCTCACCAGGACGCCGACCCGCTGAAGCCCCGGGAGCCCGCCATCATCAAGCACTTCACTGCCTACAAGAACCAGGACCACGGAGCCTGGCTGCGCGGCGGGGACGTGTGGCTGGACAGCTGCCGGTGAGTCAGAGCGGCGTGTGGCTTTGGCACCAAGTGGGCGTGACGCGTCTTCCCCCAGCGCCCCACAGAGAGAGGAGAGCGAAGCAGAGAGGGGAAGCCAGACATACTGACGTTCGGCATTCTGGTCCCTCAGCCAGGCAGGGGCATAGAAGGGCAGCAGGCAGTGGCCAAAAAAAAAAAAAAAAAAAATCAAAAAACAAAACCCAAAAGCAGCCTATTGGCTTCAGCCCACAGTGCCAGGTGCTGTGGGTTGTGATTTGCTTCCAAATAGTCACTGGGCATGGCGTTCTCAAGGTCACAGGGCCCATCAGCTAAGGGAGGGAAGAAGAGGGATGCCAGAATATTCCAGGCACTTACTGCGTGGAAGACTTGGTTGTGTTCGTTTCTTACCGTGTTTCTCAAACATGTAAATCATGATCTCCATTTTAGAAATGATAACTGAAGTTCAGTTTAGTGAATTTCTCAAGGTCACACAGTTAGTGTTTGAACTGGAGCTTGGAGCTACAGTTCACTGGACTGCAAGACCCAGATGAGAAAGGCAGGGAATGCTGAGCTCTCACAGAGGCCCCTGTGTGAGTGACTGGCACACGCTGGACAAGTGGCACACGCTGGGCAAGGACCAGAAGGTGCAGGCAGCAGAGCAGGGTTTGTTTTCAGGGAGTATTGTGAAATGTCTCCTTGTCTGCCAATTGTGTTAAAAAATGGGAAATCAGAAACCCTGTTAGGAAATAAACATATTTCTCTATTTTATTGTGACCAATTAAAGGAGAAATAGCGGTGAAAGGGAACAAGAGAAACTGAAAAGTGTGTGAGGAGAAAAGCAGAGACGCAGCATTGGCAGAGCGCAAGAGAGAGGAGGAGGGAGAGAGAGGCTGCTCAGAAAGGCAGAGACCTGAGGAGACCCTGACTTAGCGAGGGAGCCCCAGGAAGACACGTGGAAGACAGAGACAGGAGTTGCAAAGGCCTTCGGATCCCCCAGCCAGGCTGGGGCATAGAATGGCAGTAGGCAGTGGCCAAAAATAAACAATAGGAAAAAAAAAGTTCAAAAAAACTAAACCTAAAAACAGAGGCGGGGCCGGGCGCGGTGGCTCACGCCTGTAATCCCAGCACTTTGGGAGGCCGAGGCGGGCGGATCACGAGGTCGAGAGATCGAGACCATCCTGGTCAACATGGTGAAACCCCGTCTCTACTAAAAATACAAAAAAATAGCTGGGCATGGTGGCGCATGCCTGTAATCCCAGCTACTTAGGAGACTGAGACAGGAGAATTGCCTGAGCCTAGGAGGCGGAGGTTGCGGTGAGCCGAGATCGCGCCATTGCACTCCAGCCTGGGTAACGAGCGAAACTCCGTCTCAAAAAAAAAAAAAAAACAGAGGCAGAGGCAGAGAGACTGAGGGCCTTCCTTTTTTTTTTTTTTTTTTGGTGGGATGGAGTGTCACTCTGTCACCTGGGCTGGAGTGCAGTGGCGTGATCTCAGCACATTGCAAGCTCCACTTCCTGGGTTCAAGCGATTCTCCTGCCTCAGCCTCCCAAGTAGCTGGGATTATAGGCAGGCACCACGATGCCCAACTAATTTTTGCATTTTTAGTAGAGATGGGGTTTCACCACATTGGCCAGGCTGGTCTCGAACTCATGACCTCATGATCTGCCTGCCTTGACCTCCCAAGTGTTGACATTACAGGCGTGAGCCACTGCGCCTGGCCTAGGGGACTTCATTTTGCACAGGAGAAGAGAAGTCATTCATTTTAAGAAGAAGGGAAGGGAAAGAAGGGAGCTAATTCTAGGTTTCTGAAGGGCCTTTAGGGGAAGTGGGCAGGCTGGTTCCGATTGGCTCCAGAGGGCAGAAGTGATAGGAGAGCCTGCCTACCACATGAGACACCAGTCCAGGGGTAAGCTGCCAGGTTGCTCATCCATAGAGCAGACCCTCCAGCATCCTTGGGAGGGGCGCTACGCAGAAGGTGGGTGGAAGCCCTGGGTTGAAGGGAAACTAGATGGTGTCAGTGCTAAAATTCTTTGCAGTATCCTAAGTTTGGTAAATTTCTTGGTTCTGGTTGTTGGGCATCTCAGAGTTTGGATTCCTAAGGAGATGGTAAATGCCAGATTTGTGGCAGCAAGAAAAACTGTGACGACCCCTCCTGCCAAAGTGGGTGTATCTTTTAATCCTCCACCAGATTCGTTCCACGGTGGCCCAGGAGCTGGCTGGCACCAAGACTGTGGTCCTACACATGGACGAGGTTGGCACAGTCAGGGACTGACAGAGGATCGGGATCCCTTCAAGGACTGGCGCATTTGGCCATTGTAGCCCTGTCGGGAAGGTCACTCTATAAACACTGACTGCAGGCAGGGATGGAGGGGCACTCCTGGAGGCAGGAAGGCCAGCGAAGATACTACTGCAGTGGTCCAGATGAGAGAGGACTGCAGGTCATGAGAGCTTGGTTGGAACTGAGCCTTTGAAATAGGGAACAGGCTTGGATAGAAGATAATTGTGTTGTTTCAGACATGCTAAGTTTGAGATGCTCACGAGACATTTACTGGGAAGGTCCCAAATCGGGGAAGTGCAGGTGGGAAAAGTGCCTGATTTTGGAGTCATCAGTGGGTCAGTGGGCATGGGAACTATGAGTCTCTGTGACATTCCCAGGGACGCAGTGGAGAATGAGGGGACCAAGAGCTGAGCGCTGGGGGACAGAAGCAATGAGGAAAAGCCATGGAGGGGTCTGGGAGACAAGACTCAGGAAGTTTTGGAAATAAATGGAGAAGATGATGCTCTAATGATAGGCCTGGAATGATGGATTTGAGCTAAATGGGCTTTGGAAAAAGAAAAAGTTCCATGTGTCCGGAAAGAGGGTGGGCAGGGTATGAAAACACACACTGGGCGCTAGAGAGCGTCCTGGCCACTGGGACCAGCCTGGTGTAGCTGGGATGGCTTCACCAGGCCCTGGAGCTTGGGTCCATGGAGAATAAAAAGCCACGGAAATTTTAGGGAGCAGAGAGGTTGGTGAGAATGGTACTTTGAGATGAGCCTGGCAGGGTGGACAGGACAGATGGGAGAAGCAGAGGCGTGGAGACCAGTTAAATCTACCTACCCCTGGACACAGGAAGTAGAGGTGGCCGCTGTATTCGGCCCTAAAGTCTGTGGTAGCACGGACCGAAGGCTCAGCTCTGGAATCTGTGTAAACCATTGTCCCTGACAATCACATGGCCCCCTGGAGCATGCTCATCTGACCCCCAAAAAGGACAAAGGTGAAAGGGAGCTGATGAGATGGCCCCAGTGCAATTGCAAAATGACTCCTGCCCTCCTCAGGGCCAGCATCTGCCCGACTTCCTGGAAACTTGAAAAGTCGCTATTGGTGCTTCTCTCTATGGCAGAAACAGCAGTGAAGATGGTAAAAGAAAAAAAAAATAGAAGTCCATTCTCATACTCCACCTTTCTGTGGTGCTGGTCCTGAGAGCAGAAGGCCCTTGAAGGTCTCCTGATCCAACCTCAATCTAAGGCCTGGAGTCACAGAGGATGGGGGCTGGAGAGGAAGGCACGTGAGCCCGCTCTGCCTGCTGTGAATACCATTGCACGTGGGGAGCCATGGGGGTCACTGTTTTCTCTCTGACTCCTTCCTCTGCACCGTGTTCAGTATGACTCCAAGGACAGGGAAGAGTCCTCTCCACGACCCCACTGAGTGTGAAGCCACGGCATGCTCTGACTGTCAGTCTGCTCTCATCCACAGGTTTGCTGACAATGGCATCGGCCTGACCTTGGCCAGGTAAGGGCAACTGTCATTTTGCTTGGCCCTCTGCGGGATCTTGTCTCTGGACATCTCATCTCAAACGTTTTCTCTCTACAGCGGTGGAACGTTCCCGTATGACGAAGGCTCCAAGCAGGAGATAAAGAACAGCTTGTTTGTTGGCGAGAGCGGCAACGTGGGGACGGAGATGATGGACAACAGGATCTGGGGCCCTGGCGGCTTGGACCATAGCGGAAGGACCCTCCCTATAGGCCAGTAGGTTTGCAACCCTGCTAGCTCCTTGTTCTGCGTGGCTTAGCCTAAGTGGCTGTGCTGGAAGGGAAAAAGTTAGTGGGTAGTTTCTACCTGTTGACTATGAATTCTTCTGTCCTCTGCCAGCCAGAGGAATCACTGAGGTGACTGAGACTAACCATTAAGGGACGAAATCAGAAATGGGGAGACAGAAGTCAAAAAACTGTGTTGAATACGAGCAACAGGCTGATGTGGCCATCAAAATGCATAATGCGTTCCTGGGCTTTGTTACTGGGAAGTTGGTGTCTGGGATCAGGGACAGTTGAGTCCTTTTCTGTGACAGCAGACTCACTTGGAGTGTTTCATCCACTCCTGAAGATGGCACAGTGACAGAGTCAGGACAAAGCACACTTAAAGGAGAATAACCAGGAGGGTGACAAAAGCCAAAGCCATGTCACATGCAGATTGGGGTCTTCAACCAGGAGACAGGAACATCACTTTAGGGACCACATGAGGGATGTTGTTACATGTCCTCAGAGCTGCTGTGCACATCGGGGGTGAGACTCATTCTACATGGTCCTGTGGGTTAGGGTTGGTTTAGTGTAAGAAGGATGGATCTTTTTAACAGTCAGACATTCTCAACAACAGAAAAGTTGGACTGTCCTAACAAGTCCTGGGCTCTGCAGCTGGGGGAGTTTAAATGAAGGTCAGACGTTGAGCGGGCGGGTGGAGAGTGAGCGGGAGACTTGGAGGGTTGATGAGCAAACAGGGAAAATGGACTCAGTCAATTTCTTGGAAAGCCACAGGCTGGGTCAGTGGTGAGGAAATGTTCCTTCTGCTCGTGTTTCTGCTCAGATGTGAATTCAAGCCGGAGAGCAAGGCTCTGAGCCTGTGAGTAGCACGCTGGCCCCTGTGCTCCTGGTGATAAGATCAGCCCTTCTTATCTCCCTGAGCTTCCTACTCTTCCTCTAGGAAGATATAATTTCTATTAGAGTCAGGACGCTAAATACGCATAGACCTAAAACTCCCAACACAAGTGGACGTGGAAAAGACGTTGCAAAGGCAAAATCATGATTGCCTTCATGAGCTGGCGAGAAGCCCTTCCTTCTGTGTACCCTGAGTGATGGAGCAGTCCCTTTCAGCATTTGTATGCATGACCCTGAGTCTGCGTGTTCAGCGTTTCTTTGCCAAGGGTTACCAGCGTCCCAGAGCCCGAATGCTCTGATGACTTCCAGAGGTGACCCTGTTTATGGAAGCCTGTCGGACAGAGGCAGGTTCCTCAAATCGCATCTGCAGGTAGGAACCTAAGACCGAGCACTCCTAATCCTGACTGATCCATCTTGTATAGAGCTGGGTCAGGGCCTGAAGTGTAAAACCTAAATATAGAGCTGGTAAAAACGGTCTGCCCCTAAAATCTGTGAAATGAGGAAATGCATGGAGCCACCCCATGAGAATCAGGATTCAAGGCCATGATGGGAATCAGTTATCAACATAAAAATGTCGAAATTCAAGGAGGCTTTGGTGCCCACGAAGGCATGTCACCATGACCGCTGTGCCTAGGAACCATATTGGAATGGAAGGGAGCGCAGGGCTGAACATCAGGGACAGCTGGAGTGTGGCCTCTTATTCTACATGGAGATGAGCCTGTGGGCAGATACTGTTTCTGTGGGCAGATACTGTTTCTGCTCCTTTTTCCATTATTCCTTTTCTGATTTATATTTGCTGTGGAAGAGAACGGGCCTGACCCAGACGTAGAGACACCAGCACAAGCATACATGTTGGATTTAGAGAGGGAGCAAGCCTAGACTGGGGCCCGGCCCAAGAAGGGCCACCAGGAAGCCCAGCCGGCCCGGCAGACCCTCGCTTCCCGTGCCCTGCTCTGGAGTCTGAGGCAGTGGGAGAGTGTGTCTGAGCGACCTGCTCCGTGCTAGGCCAAGGCAAAATCTTCAAGTTTCCAGCTCTTGTCCAGTGTCTCCTGCCTCCATCTTCAAGCCTGCTGCCTCTTCCCACCTCTTTCTGGGTCTCAGGGCCTTCTTGGGGTTCTCTGTCAGTCCACAGCCTTGCTTTCCCGTGGGACCTCCCCTTCGCCCAGGGGGGCCGAAAATGTTGCCTTACAATTACTTTTAACACGTTAATCACCTTCCACCGGGCGCGGTGGCTCATGCCTGTAATCCCAGCACTTTGGGAGGCCGAGGCGGGTGGATCACGAGGTCAAGAGATCGAGACCATCCTGGTCAACATGGTGAAACCCCGTCTCTACTAAAAATACTAAAAATTAGCTGGGCATGGTGGTGCGTGCCTGTAATCCCAGCTACTCAGGAGGTTGAGGCAGGAAAATTGCTTGAACCCAGGAGGCGGAGGTTGCGGTGAGCCGAGATCGTGCCATTGCACTCCAGCCTGGGTAACAAGAGCGAAACTCCGTCTCAAAAAAAAAAAAAGAAAATCACCTTCCATTCTGGGTCCTTTCCCCCCATTTCCCAAAGCCAGCACACTGCCAGTGTGAAAGGCTTACTCACAGAGGAGAAACTCATGTGGATCTTAATCTGATTAAATTGTTATAGCAACTAAAACTAAGGCGACAATGACTAACAACTCTACCTTCCCAAGAAACACAATGTTGGCAGTGGTATTTACAGTATTTACCCAATGACTTTATGTAATTGAAAAATTGGGGGAAATGTTGAAACATAGGACCATTCTCCAAACCCCAAACCAGCAACTAGATGGATATTCATCCACCCATCCATCCACTCATCCATCCATCCATTCATCAGGCAGTCATCCGTTGACACTGACTGTGTTTATACATGCTTTAAATGAATGAATGAATTAATAATGAATTAATTAACAAAGCAATCATGATCTGGGTCAGGGGCAGTTGCTAGAGGTGGGGATGAGGAATGGCTTTCCCCGGGAAGTCTCTGCTACCATTCACCTCAAAATAACACGGCATTTAGACTGACACCTTACTTAACTCCATAGGAATTTTCCGATTAGAGGAATTCAGTTCTATGACGGCCCCATCAACATCCAAAACTGCACCTTCCGAAAGTTCGTGGCCCTGGAGGGCCGGCACACCAGCGCCCTGGCCTTCCGCCTGAACAATGCCTGGCAGAGCTGCCCCCATAACAACGTGACCGGCATTGCCTTTGAGGACGTTCCGGTGAGTGAGGTGCCAGGCCAGACTCCCGGCAAACCCAGACTTTGGATGGTGATTCACAAGTCTCCTGGGGCCCAGAGTTTGAGCCACTGCCACCACCACAGGGGTTGAAAAGCCTCCTCCAACGAGGCTGGGCCACGGCCCAGTTTGCTCTGTATCCAAACTGGAAAAGTACAAGCGTAGGTTGCCCCACAGGTCAGGTCTGGGTAAATGCCCGCTGCTCACTCCCTGCTGAAAACCCAGGCGGGCCTCAGGAGGAAGCCGAAGTGCCGATCGAGGTTCCTAGGCTGTTCCTCCACGGGTCTTGACTTTGACAAACCGAGTCTTGTGACCAGGCCACCTGTGTTGGCACGAAGAATCTAACAAGCCCCACAGTTTCCAAGGGAAGTCTTAAGTGATGGTGTTCTGTTTAATCTCTCCCCAAGAGCAGACTATAAACAAAGGCCTCCTTGCCCTAGACAGAGAGGGCAGAAGAAGGGCTGAGGGTTACGGGATCGGGACCAAGGGCTGCCCTGTGAGACCACGCGGGGCCAGGCCTCCTGTGCACTTCCTTCGGGTTATGGATCCCCAGACACTTCCCTCCTCCTCCTCCCCGCTCTTCCCTTTTGCCTGCTTGCCCAGTTCCTGGCAGGCTCAGGGAGAAGATGTGAAACTGAAATGACTTAATGCCTTTACTCAGGCGACTGAGGGCCCGAAAGAGGTCAGTCATGGCAACCTATGAGGGCTCATGCGACAAAACTGTCTTCCTGAAACATGCCACACACACATTTTCTCTTGCACACGGATGCCCCCCGTGTGTGTGTGTGTGTGCGCGCGCGTGCCCTTTCTCATACACACATCACCACCACCTCTCTCTCACACACACTCCCAGTCCTCAGTCCCCCTCCTCCATCCTAGCCGTCGGTGAAACCTGCTTTTCAGAGCAGTCTCCACGCTCGCCCACAGAAGCCAAACCCCCAGTGAGCAGAGGCCAAGAACATGCGCTAGGTCTGGGAGTTGAGGCACGGTGAACCTTTGACTTTTACTCCGGCTGCATCGGCGGGGTCAGCCATGCGGTTTCTCTCTGTGCCCGAGAGTATCTTTGCTTTGGCTGCCTTGTAATGTCAGTGGAAATCGGAAACCTCGCCCTGGCCCGATGACGGCTGCAGTTTCCTTTCACCTTCCAGCCCTGCCTAACTTTCCTGGGCTCTGTTTAGATTACTTCCAGAGTGTTCTTCGGAGAGCCTGGGCCCTGGTTCAACCAGCTGGACATGGATGGGGATAAGACATCTGTGTTCCATGACGTCGATGGCTCCGTGTCCGAGTACCCAGGCTCCTACCTCACGAAGGATGACAACTGGCTGGTCCGGCACCCAGACTGCATCAACGTCCCCGACTGGAGAGGAGCCATCTGCAGCGGTCGCTATGCACAGGTGGGGACACCTTTCTGGGGGCCCGTCACTCACTCATTCACTCATGCAGCAAGTTGTTCAGTGAGTGTCTGCTGTATGCCTGGCTCTGTTTCAGGCCAGAAAGATACAGAATCTCTTTTTCCTTTCTTTTTAACTTTTCCTCTCACTCAGTAGCATTTTTACAAAGTTCATGTCAAAACACTCGGTAAGCAAAATGCTTAGAGAAAAGAACTCCTCTGGGTCCAGTGCTTAGATTCAAGTCAGGCTCCAACACTTAGCATTGGACCTTGGGCAAATGACTCGGACTCGTGGAACCTCAGTTTCCTCATCCGTAAAACCGGGATAATAGTTGAACTTTCCTAGTGAGATTTTGGGGATGGCGTCCGAAAATACACGTAAAGTGTTTCACCAGCCCTATCCCAATAGAAATGTAATGCCAGTCACACATGTGTTCTTAAATTTTCTGGTAGCCATCTTAAAAAGTAAAAAGAGGCCGGGCGTGGTGGCTCACGCCTGTGATCCAAGCACTTTGGAGACCGAGGCAGGCAGATCACCTGAGGTCAGGAGTTCAAGACCAGACTGACCAACATGGTGAAACTCCATCTTTTAAAAAAAAAAAAAAGTTAAAAGAAACAATTTAATTGTAATAATACTTTAATTATATTCAGAATACTATCATCTTAACATGAATCAGTGTAGAAAATGAAACACTTCTTATTTTTTTTCTAAGTCTTCAAAATCTACTATATGTTTGATACTCAGCCCACTCAATTTTCAACAAAGGGAAGTGCAGTCCTACTGAAACAATAACGTTGTGCTTCATGCAAATGTTTTATTTTTAATTTAGTTTTGCATTTTTATTGCTATATCATAGTCTATTCTCTTGCAGCATGCGTGGTATTTTGATATATGTATATAACGTGTAATGATCAAATCAGAGTAATGGAATAGGAAAAGTATTTACATTGCTTTTGTTTTGAAATTTAAATGTATTCAAGTTTAAAATTCAGATCCTGAATCACACTGGCCACATGTCCAGTGCTCAGTGGCCACATGAGGGACAGGGCAGGTCTAGACAGTGCCTAGAAGGGGACAGAACTGAAAATATTAGTTAGCTATTGTTATATTATTGTTACTTCTAGTATTTTGATGAATGACTAATGAATAAATGGGTAAACGGAGAGAGGCCTGAGGAAATGAACCGTCAGGTTCATAGTGACCCAGGTCGTCTCGGGGAGTGACTGAAACACGAATGAATGAAGACACTGTCTTCATAGCTATCCTACAAGGCAGGCACCATTGTCACCACTGTGGACGTCAGGAATTGGGGTGCTGGGAAAGAGCTAAATGGTGGTTTGGGGTGGAGGAGTGATAGGAGAGGGAGATGGTGTCAGGCTGAAGGAAAGGGGCCATAGGGGTGATGGGGGCACAGGGTGCAGCTGGGGGAGTAGGTACCAGAGGAGGTGGCAGGGCTAGCATTTAGCGGGAAGGAGGACCAGAGGAAGACGGGGCAGAGGGCAGGAAGTTGAGGGTGTTCCCCTCTGCAGTAGAAGGTGATGTCATGTGCTGAGAATTAGGGGACTGGACTTGAGAAAAGTAACCTCCAGAGAGGGATACAGATCTGGAAGAGCTGCTGCAGAGAGTGGAAAATGTTGGCAAGAGGCTTGTGGAAGGAGCGCCTGGCAGTGTTGGAAGCGCAGTGGAGGCTGGAGATGGTGTATCTGCAGAGGCAGCTCTCTCCCAGGCTGTGGGGTTTTCTCAGCCCTGCTCAAGAGCCCTGGGAGAAGAAGGAGCTGTGTCATGAGGCAGGGTGAGGCTTCTGCGGCAGGTGTGGGCAGGGGAAAGGCCGAGGCACTAGTGGTAGATGTGATGGTCTGAAGATAGAAGTCAGAAGAGAGCTGATGGAGGGGAGTCATGCCCTGAATAAATGAAGGGTGACCAAACCCTCAAGCCTGGCATCCACACTTTCAGCATTACGCAGCCTCAGCTCAAGGTTTGGGTATCCCACGTGGAGCCGTGGTTTTCCTTCCCACACTTTCTTTCTGATATGTTGCTTATCTTCTGTGAAAACCCAAAACATTGTTAGAGCTTGCCACGTTATCATAACTGGCAGCTGGTTAATATTTTTCCTTCACTTTACATCTTACAAATGCTTCAATGGACCCGTTACCTCTGATACTCAGGGCAGTTTCCTCCAGTGGGCAGGGTTGAAGCTTCTCTTTTAATCTTATATGCGATAAAACTAGAGGGGAAGATAGCCACTTCCTTCCGAAAGCACGACATCACGGCACATTGGCGTGATTGTCGCTCTTGGCCGCAGTTAAGGGGATATTGTCTTATGAATTTAGGATGTGCCGTAAAACAGGATGCAGTGTTTTGTTTTTGTTTTTTTTAGACGGAGTTTCGCTCTTGTTACCCAGGCTAGAGTGCAGTGGCATAATCTCGGCTCACCTCAACCTCCACCTCCTGGGTTCAAGCAATTCTCCTGCCTCAGCCTCCCGAGTAGCTGGGATTACAGGCACGCGCCACCATGCCCAGCTAATTTTTTGTATTTTTGGTAGAGACGGGGTTTCACCTTGTTGACCAGAATGGTCTCGATCTCTTGACCTCGTGATCCACCCGCCTCGGCCTCCCAAAGTGCTGGGATCACAGGCGTGAGCCACCGCGCCCGGCCAGGATGCAGTGTTTTAAACCAATGCTGGGCTGAAGCATCCAGGCTTTCTAAGGTCCCTGGAACTCAGTGGCTGAGTCTTGCTTTCAATTTTCCCTCTGAAATGAGACACCATTTATTCATCCAGTGTGTCGTGACACCACAAGGACTGGCCTCAGGGGCCAGAGACTGAGGGGGGAATAGGAGGGAGAAGGTGGCCAACACCCCCAGGCACTCCCCGAGAAGCAGGCAGAGCAACTGCCAGTTACAGGCGAGCTGCATTTTAGGGCAGAATTATAAAAGTTCTCCTTGCCTCTCATTCCCTTCCTCTCCCATCCACATCTCTGTCCTTTGTCCGGAATTTGCCGTCTACTATGCAGACTCTCTCAAATTTCCACTGGAAACTCCACAGAGCACTTTTATAAGATGCACAGAGAGCATTATGTAGATTACACAGGAGGGCTGGAGCTGCCCACACCAGCAGGAAAAGATGTCCCCTTATTTGGCCTTTCTTTCATTTCAAGCCTTCTAAAAAGGGTTCTGTAAAGAGAACGTGCCTTTGAAAGTACAGTCTGTAGTCAGATGTTAACCAGACACTCTTGGAATAACCCTTCGTAATTAATAGCTTCATTGTGTGTTTCCTTTTTGGGTTTTAAAAGATGTACATTCAAGTCTACAAGACCAGTAACCTGCGAATGAAGATCATCAAGAATGACTTCCCCAGCCACCCTCTCTACCTGGAAGGGGCGCTCACCAGGAGCACCCATTACCAGCAGTACCAGCCAGTCGTCACCCTGCAGAAGGGCTACACCATCCACTGGGACCAGACGGCCCCTGCCGAACTCGCCATCTGGCTCATCAACTTCAACAAGTGAGTGGGTGTCCCGCCAGGAGCAGGGAGAGCTGGGGGCAGCTGCTCTGGCTGGTTTCAAGGCTGATAACGAAGCTTTTTTTTTTTTTTTTTTTTGCAAAGTCCTGGACTTGCCTCTCACAGAACCACAGGCTAGCCCGTGTGATCTCTGCACGAGTACCTAGAGGGGCTGACATCACCCGGGAGTTAAGAATTAAGAGGACACAGGCCAAGCCCCTGCGCCAGCGTGGGTGACCTTGGGCAGGGCATGTAACCTCTTGAGCCTGAGTTCCTTGATCTTTGAGTTGTGGATAGTGTTACCTTGTGGAAGTGCAATGAGGATCGAAGAGAGATACTGTCTGACGGGCACGCAGGACCTGGCGTTAGCAAGTGCTTGATGGGTGGCAAAAATATCTGGGTATTGCCGATACCATTCTACAGAGAGGGAAAGGAGGCTCTGACAGACAATGTGATGAGACAGAGGGCATCTGGATGGGGCTTCATGTACTTAGATTCAGTATTTTCTATGCATGTTATTTACTTGTCACAGTATTCCTGTGAGACAGACATTTGTCAGTTGTAGGAAATGAGATGGAAGAGATGAAATGGGCCCTATAAATCAAGCTGGACCCAGAAGGGGCTGAGCCTAGGTCCTTTGGATCCTGTGTTTTTTTTTTTTTTTTTTTTTTTTTTGAGACAGAGTTTCGCTCTTGTTACCCAGGCTGGAGTGCAATGGCGCGATCTCGGCTCACCACAACCTCCGCCTCCTGGGTTCAGGCAATTCTCCTGACTCAGCCTCCTGAGTAGCTGGGATTACAGGCACGCACCACCATGCCCAGCTGATTTTTTGTATTTTTAGTAGAGACGGGGTTTCACCACGTTGACCAGGATGGTCTCGATCTCTCGACCTCACAATCCACCCGCCTCGGCCTCCCAAAGTGCTGGGATTACAGGCATGAGCCACCGCGCCTGGCCAATCCTGTGCTCTTTAACTACAAAAAGAATGTCTTTTCCCCAAAATTCCACAGGGAGCACCCCGGGAGTTGGCCCTGGAGACACATGAGTGAAACATTCAGACTCTCTGCTCACGGGCAGCCACTGTCTCTCGTTCTCTCCTCGAACACTGCAACTTGGTCACCACAACAGCAAATGTTCTTTCAAATTTTCCCATAGAAAACGGAGGTGTCGGGCTGGGCGCGGTGGCTCACGCCTGTAATCCCAGCACTTTGGGAGGCCGAGACGGGTGGATCACGAGGTCGAGAGATCGAGACCATCCTGGTCAACATGGTGAAACCCCGTCTCTACTAAAAATACAAAAAATTAGCTGGGCATAGTGGCGCGTGCCTGTAATCCCAGCTACTCAGGAGGCTGAGACAGGAGAATTGCCTGAACCCAGGAGGCGGAGGTTGCGGTGAGCAGAGATTGTGCCATTGCACTCCAGCCTGGGTAACAAGAGCAAAACTCTGTCTCAAAAAAAAAAAAGAAAAAAAAAAGAAAGAAAATGGAGGTGTCATTTGGTGGAGGCTTTTTGGTCTCTTTCTCCAAGGCATGCCCCAAAGGCCCCGTGGCCTCCACACCCTTGTTTGTAACCTGACTCTACTTCCCATCCCAGGGGCGACTGGATTCGCGTGGGGCTCTGCTACCCGCGAGGCACCACCTTCTCCATCCTGTCGGACGTGCACAATCGCCTGCTGAAGCAAACGTCCAAGACGGGCATCTTCGTGAGGACCTTGCAGATGGACAAAGTGGAGCAGAGTTATCCCGGCAGGAGCCACTACTACTGGGACGAGGACTCAGGGTGAGTGGGTGGCCACGTGGCTGCAGGAACGTAGCTGGACCTCATCTCGTCCACCTGGCCTTTCCAGCAATCCTAAGAACCACCAGGTAGTTAATGCCAGTTAATGTAAGACACTTTTCCAGGCATAAGCCACCACATCTGGCCAGCATTTTCAAAGCTCTTAAGCTTTCAAAGTGAAAAAAAAAAAAAAAAAAAAAAAAACCACTCTATTAAATATACATGTGAATTGTAGGGGAATTTACATATCTCAGGAAAAAAAGTGAAGGCAGTAAATCTTAGAATCCAGAAAATATGGTGCATTATCTCAAATCCTCACAACCCACTTGGAGCAGAGGGTTAAGAGATTTGCAGCTGGGCGCGGTGGCTCACGCCTCAAATCCCAGCACTTTAGGAGGCCGGGGTGGGCGGATCTTGAGGTCAGGAGATCAAGACCATCCTGGCCAACATGGTGAAATCCCTACTGAATCCCTACTAAATCTCTACTAAAAGTACAAAAAAGCTGGGCGTAGTGGTGGGTACTTGTAGTCCCAGCTATAAGCTGGGACTTGTGGTGGGTGGATCACAAGGTCAAGAGATCGAAACCATCCTGGCCAACACGGTGAAACCCTGTCTCTACTAAAAAATATAAAAACTAGCCGGCCGTGGTGGCAGGTACCTATTGTCCCAGCTACTTGGGAGACTGAGGCAGGAGAATTGCTTGAACCTGGGAGGTGGAGGTTGCAGTGAGCCGAGATCATACTACTGCACTCCAGCGTGGTGCCTGGCGACAGAGGGAGACTCTGTCTCAAAAAAGAAAAAAAAAAAACTGTTAATTGATTGTAGCTGTGTTCTGGATAGCTAAGTTTGCTTAACACCATCTCAGTGAATTATAATGATTCTTACTAAATTATAATCAAGTACGTTATTTAAGGTGCACCACCATCAGGAGCTCTGCTCTGCCACACTACCTGGTCATAGCCAGGGTCTGAGCACTGGGCTGGCAGGTGCCCAGCCCCTGCCCCTTTCACGCCTCCCAGGGCCTTGCATTTCAGCCAGCTGGCATGCATCCAAGTTGCAGGTCAGGATTAGGGAAGGCAGCTGCTATCCAGCATGGGCTGGATGGTCGCTTAGGTTCCTCCCGGTTTAGATTGATACATAATGGCAACAAGGAAACCTGAATACTGCTAAGTTTTGTGCGGAAGCCTCAGGACCAATCCCATGTCTGTGCCTTGGTCCCAGGAGTGGTTTGGATCATGTTGGGAGCCTCCCAGGGAGATGTGACCATGGGTGGCAGTGAACTGCCTTCCTCCTAAGCTGCTCAAAGCGGGGTGCTCACCTGCCTCCCCAGCATCCCCACCGTGCAGGGCATGGAACGCCCATGGCACTGCCCTGCTCTCAGCCCTGAGCAGGCAGCCTCTAACTCAGTCAGTTTCTACTTTATTCTGAGATCACTTGATGTGGATGGCTTGAAACATAAAGCCACTCAAGGAAGCTCAGAATAAGTGGAGGTGCTACAGAGAGAAAACCAAGGGGCCCTGAAGACATAAAAACCTACCTGGGCCTCAAGGGCTCGGGTAGTAGAAACAGCAAAGCCAGCAGGGAGGCGGCCTGCCCACCCCCGCGTCTCTCCGGCTCCCACCTTCACACACATGGGCACACATGCTTGGCCTCTTGTTTCAGCTACTTGCTGCGAACTGCCTTCCTCTCTCGATTCCTCAGCAGGCAAAACAAGCTTGTCAGCCCTAACTCCATGTGGTCTTTTAGTTCGAGCACCAATCAGTACCAGACAAGACCTGCTGGGTCCCATAAGAGCGAGGATCTTGCTTACTGGGTAGACAATCCACGGCCCTGCTGCGGGCCCAGTGTGTGCCCCTGGTCTGAGCAGCTGTGTGGCACAGGTTTGGGGGTGACGGCATTGTGGTGCAATCCCAGCTCTCTAGTCTGACTGGGCTCAGTGCAGCCTTGGTTACCAGAGCTGGATGGGTGCGAGACACCCCGTATCATTTCTTCCCACGTTTCAGATGCGGGATTCAGCCTGAAAGAGCGATAATGAATCCCAAGTGGGTACTGTGTTTTCCTTATAATCTGACTTCCTGTAACACTGGGTCAGCTTCCTTTACAATGACTATTTTTAATAAATTATAAAATAATGTTTGGAATAAATGGAGAAAAGTAGAGTAAGGAAGACGGAGCATTTCCTCACCAGGCGCAATGCGGGCATGGAAAAGCCCAGCTCCCTTGTGTCCCAGCTGTGTGGTCCTGGGCAAGTCACTTTGCCTCTCTGAGCCACCCTTTTCCCATCTAAGAATTCAGGATGACAATAGTACCTACTGGACAGGATTGTTTGAGGATTAAATATGTCGATTTACCACGTGTGCACAGCATGGCACATAAAATGTGCTCAGAATAGAACCGTCGTTCTCATCGGCTTGTTCTTCACTGCATGTGTGCCTTATTTCTCCAGCTACATACAACCCTGTGGTTGGTAGACATGGTCCCATTCTGTAAGGCCTCTGGGTCTCCCTGCTATGCCCAGCTTATAGTAAATGTCTCAGTGGATGGGAGGAGAAGGGGGCGGTTCTGAGTGCCCACGCAAACATCCAGCAATGCTCCCTGTGTGCAGGCTGCTGTTCCTGAAGCTGAAAGCTCAGAACGAGAGAGAGAAGTTTGCTTTCTGCTCCATGAAAGGCTGTGAGAGGATAAAGATTAAAGCTCTGATCCCAAAGAACGCAGGCATCAGTGACTGCACAGCCACAGCCTACCCCAGGTTCGCTGAGAGGGCTGTCGTGGATGTGCCGATGCCCAAGAAGCTCTTTGGTTCTCAGCTGGTGAGTGACTGACAGCAAGCCTGGACCCCTTTGGCCCCCAATCTGGCCCAGACCCAATTAGGTCCGTCACTCAGCTCCGCAAACCATCTCCTGTGGCTGGGGAGGCGGGAAGAGGAGGGGAAGGACCACCCAAACCTGACAATTGCACTGGGGTTGATGTTTTCCAGAAAACAAAGGACCACTTCTTGGAGGTGAAGATGGAGAGTTTGAAGCAGCACTTCTTCCACCTTTGGAATGACTTCGCTTACATCGAGGTAAGCGCCTCTGGCCCCTGGAGGATCCGGGTTTGCTCACTGAGAGGTGACACTGTGTCCAGGGGCTGCTGTATCAAATTACTACAACCTGGGTGGCTTGTGTTAAACAAGAGAAAGTTATTCTCCCAGTTCAGGAGGCCAGAAGTCCAAGAGCAAGGTGCTGGCAGGGCTGGTTTCCTGCGGGGGCTCAGGGGAGAATCTGTTCCCTGCCTCTTCTCGCTCCTGGTGGCTGCCAGCACTCCTGTGCGTTCCTCGGTTTGCAGACATGTAAATCTCTGTCTTTATGTGGCCTCTTCTCCTGACTGTCTGAGTCTCACCTCTCCCCTTCCTTTCTTTTGCAAGGGCACCTGTCTTTGGATTTAGGGCTCACCCTAAAAATCCAAATAGTTTCATCAAATAGTCTTTAACTTAATTCCGTCTGCAAAGATTCTGTTTCCAGACAAGTTCACTTTCACAGGTTCAGGGTGGACGTATCCTTTGAAAGGCCATTATTTCACCCACTACTGAGGGCTACAGGGGGTGAAGTGACAATGGGGTTTGTGCTTCGAACAGCAGCACAGGCGGCTTCTGCCTTCAGGGTCTGCTTGGGAACCCCCAGGTGGGAGAACCTTGAGGCTTCGGCACCCCACCTCATACCTGGGTTGTTCTGGCTCGGCAGGTGGATGGGAAGAAGTACCCCAGCTCGGAGGATGGCATCCAGGTGGTGGTGATTGACGGGCACCAAGGGCGTGTGGTGAGCCACATGAGCTTCAGGAACGCCATTCTGCAGGGCATACCATGGCAGCTTTTCAACTACATGGCGGCCATCCCTGACAAGTGAGTCTGTGCCTCTGTTTCTGGAACCGGCTGACCCCTGGGCAAGGGCCCCCTCCCTCTCACAAAGGCCCTCATCACAGATCAGTCTGGAAAAGCTCAGGCAGTCTCTACAACCTGCCCACAAATCATGGGTGCTGGCCGAGAGCTTCCTCGCCTATGGACTCTGGGGCTGGAGCCGGGCTGCTGGGAATGTAGGTCAGGCGGAGGCTGATGGGACAGCCCCGCTGCACATGGGAAAGCTGCCCTGTTCCTCTCCACTACGCTCCCGGCGTGATCTCATCCCCTCCCACACCTTCAACACGATCCAAGTGCTGGTGGCTACTATCTGCAGCCCGGATCTCTTTCCCGAGCGCCATTCCCACCCAAATGCTACTCGGAGACCACCACCTGGACGTCTTGTAAGGAACTGCGTTCTCAGCCTTTTAAAATGTTCAGCCTCCCAAACCAGCCGCTCATCCTGCTCCTTCAGTTTTGATTAAATCGTCCCCACCCACCCTGATAGTTAGACAAGAATCTGGGCATTCCGTTAGACTCTTCTCTTTCCTCCGCACGCTGTCAATTACACCGGCATTACGGCTCACTGCTGGCTCCCTGCACAGCCTCCTCTCTCCTGCTGCTCGGCACAGGCCTTTGCGGGTCATCACCAGCACTGTTAGCACAGTCTCCTAACGGGCCTCCCTCTTCCAGTTGCCCCGACTCCCACCCATCTTCCATATTACCTGCTGGTTTGAACTTCTTAAATGCAGGGAAAACCTGTGTCCCCTCTCCTTAGCGACAATCTTTGGTAATTCCCCACCACCTTGGTTGGCTGAGCTCCAACAAAGGACTATTAGCTTTCATTCTGAAATGAAACAATGCAGAAATACCCTCCTGAGAACAGATCCTGAATCTAGAGTGGCGGATGTGTTTCTGATGAGCCCTCTCTCCCTAAGGGACCTTACCCCACCAACCCTTTGGGCCTCCCTCTCCAGCCTTCCTCCAGGGCCTGAGGCAGCCCCAGCTCCCTTCCCAACAATCATTATTGCACACAAGCCCTTTGTACCTTAAGATCTTTCCTAGCCGGGCACGGTGGCTCACGCCTGTAATCCCAGCACTTTGGGAGGCCGAGGTGGGTGGATCACGAGGTCAAGAGATCGAGACCATCGTGGTCAACATGGTGAAACCCTGTCTCTACTAAAAATACAAAAACATTAGCCGGGCATGGTGGCACGTGCCTGTAATCCCAGCTACTCAGGAGGCTGAGGCAGGAGAATTGCTTGAACCCAGGAGGTGGAGGTTGCGGTGAGCCAAGATCACGCCATTGCACTCCAGCCTGAGTAACAAGAGTGAAACTCCATCTCAAAAAAAAAAAAAAAAAAAAAAAATCTTTCCTGCCGCTCCCAGTGGGACACACATGGGGGTAACAACGGGTTCCAGATTCCTGCACAGTTTTTCCATGTCTGGACTGTGGTCTGTGGTTACAGAGTTCCTTTAAGATACGAACTGGATGCCCCACTGAGCTTCTGCCCCGTTCCTAGTCCCAGGGGAGGTGCCCACGTCCTCCTGTCTGGCCCAGCGTGCTAAGTCTGCCACTGTGACGGCTGTTTTCCCAGCACTTTGGACTGAATACATCCCATGAGAGGAAGTAGACACTCCTTATTTCCAAGGCAAACTTTTGCAATTTGGGACCTTCAGGCTGGGCACGCGCATTTCTCCAAACCTCTGCCTCTTTCAAGCACATTTCCCTTTGGTAGGGATACTTGGTAACCATTTGCTTCAATCTCCCCATTTGCAAAATCGAGGCAGTAACCTTGTCTTGCCTGACCAGAGAGAGAGGTGACGTGAACATGAGAGGTCAACCTGAGCTCTTGGTACAACCCGAGTATCACGGTAACAACGTAGTGTTCTCCCCAGAAAGACTTCCAACCTGGCCATGCTCTTCCTGCAGCTCAGAGGAGACTGGCTCTGGACTACGCGAAGCCTGTGTCCATCAAAAGAAGACAGCAAAAGAAAGATGGGTTCCAAGAGAGATCCTCTAGCCTGGGGCTTCTTGAGCTTTAACATATACACAATCACCTGGAGATCTTGTAAAAAAGGCAGATTCTGATTCAGAAAGTATGCAATGGAGGAATTCTGTGGTTCTAATGAAATCCCAGGTGATGCCAAATGCAGCTGGTTTCTAGAACCTTCAGGGTTTCTAGAACCTTCAGGCTCTCCTGGATGGCTTTATGATATGACAGATACTCCCCTCCTCCTTCCCTCACCTCTTTTCTTTCTCATCCCTTTTTCCTGCCTTCCTCCATCACCACTTCAATCTGGTCCCACCTAACCGGGGTTGACAGCATTCAAGGGAAGAAATGCATACTGAAGTCCCACGTGCTGAGCCCTGGCTTATATCCTCTCCTCTGGAGAGAGACATGTAAACGCGGCGAGCAGACTCCAGGCTTGGAGAAGGCCATGGGCACCAACTGTGGCCAGATGCGTGGGAGGGAGCTCAGGATGTCTGTCATCACACGGAAAGAGCCGGTCAGCTCGGCGCACAGGAGAGGCTGCCCTTTCCTGAATTCCTGGCCAGGCATCTGGGCACCGCCAACTCCAGTCCCACCATGCACAACCCAGCTTCCCTCCCCATGCTCACGTGCTCCAACTTGCAGTCTCTCTCCGGTCTAATCGGTTTCTTCTCATACAGTTCCATAGTGCTCATGGTGTCAAAGGGAAGATACGTCTCCAGAGGCCCGTGGACCAGAGTGCTGGAAAAGCTTGGGGCAGAAAGGGGTCTCAAGTTGAAAGGTAAGGGTTTGAACTGGGGTTTCAATTGACCCCAAAACCAGAGAAGGCAAATGCCTGGCATGGAGGTTGCTTTCATCTTTTGCTGAGTTGAGAACACGCTTTGTACTAATGGGGTACAACCTCACACATCCCCTACACATGCCAGACACTGAAAGAAGATTGCTAGAATTGTTCACTCATTTGCTTGGAAGGTGGCCCTTTATCCATCAAAAGTATCGTAAGAAAAGTGACTTAGTCCAGCCATCCTACCCAGTTCCTGCTCTTCAGACTGGCCGGGCTCCTGCATCTTCCTCAGCATCCCAGCTGATGCCTAGCATGTGGACGGTCCTTGGCAGCTTGCAAAACGCTCACGTGTTCCTCTGAGATAGGCAGATGAAAAGAAAATTAGAACCCAGAGAACCTGCATGGCTTGTCCAAGGCCAGGCAGCTCTCCGGTGGTGAAGCCTAGCACAGGCTTGCTGGCTGGACTGGAAGAAGCCATCCAGGAGGGACATGTCAGCATGGCACCCATTATCATCACACAAACTAGGTTCAGGGAGAGTCCTCAGGGAGGCTGTGTGGGAGGCACAGCAGCTCCACGGGCAATGACGACCATGACCATGACGGCTGCTATTTAATGGTTAGCCTTGCACCTTTGCAGAACATAAGTATCTCACTTACTTATTAATTAGTAATACTTATTAATAACCCGTGCAGCAGGTACTATTACCATTTAAGATGAGGACACCGAGAATTTCACAGCCAAGCCACTTGTTTAAGGTGAGGGTTTGGATCCTAACCTTCTTCACCCAAAGCTGGGCTTTTTAGTTAGATACCGTCCTCACTATGGAAAATATCCAAATCTGAAGCCCATCTATGGGGTGACGAGAAAAACCAGAAGCAATGCAAACCCCTCAAACCAGCCCAAGGAGAACATAAGGAAAAAGAGACGCATCCTTTCCAGCCAAGTCTTGGAATCATTTTGGAGCCTCTGTCTTTTAAATTAAGACCCTGGTTGCCAAAAGCCGATGCATGTAAAGGGACCCAAGTTGGAATGGCACTTTCCCGGTGGTGATAAATGCACGTTGCCTGCCAGGATGGACTGAGTGTGGATGTGGATTCCCATGCCCCTTGGATGGTCAAGCTCTGAGCTGCAAGATGGACCCCAGTAGCCATGCTGTGTGGGGTTCAGGGGCTTCGAGTTGGCTCCACACTCTTGGTCAAATTCCTTCTCCTCTCAGAACTCCTTCAAAGCCACAGAGTGATAGAGAGTAGAAGGAGATCTTGTAGATCAATGCCATCATTTGATGGATGGGAACACTGGGCTTCAGGGAAGGGCAGGGCCTTGCTGGTGATCCTGGGGGCAGCTCAAAGGTAGGCAGGTTCCTCGGAAGTCACCTCCCTCACACTTCGCCCCATTTCCTGCTGTGCATGGCTCCCCTGTCTATAGCAAAGCCATCACCCTGTCTAGTGGCCATGAGGCTCAGGTGAGCCCCCACACGCCCCATACAAACACATGTCAGGTACCAGCAGAAGCGGAACACAGAGCTCTTCCCAAAGGGCCGCGGTGCAGTGTGGCTGAGGGGTACAGTACCTGGTGCAGGCAGGGGCCGGTGATGGGAGCCCTGGAACAGGGTGGGGTAGCCGTCCTTTCACGGGGCGTTTGCTCAGGAAGCTCTTCATTGCTTTTCAGAGCAAATGGCATTCGTTGGCTTCAAAGGCAGCTTCCGGCCCATCTGGGTGACTCTGGACACTGAGGATCACAAGGCCAAAATCTTCCAAGTTGTGCCCATCCCTGTGGTGAAGAAGAAGAAGCTGTGAGGACAGCTGCCGCCCCGTGCCACCTCATGGTGGACTGTGTTGGTGACTCTTGGCAGCAGACCACTGGGGGATGGCTGGGTCCCCCAGCCCCTCCCAGCAGCTGCCTGGGAAGACCATGTGTCGGCCCTGATGGGCCGAGGGAAGGATATTAGAGACCCTGGTGCTGCCACCTGCCCCCACTCGAGTGTCTACCTGCAGCCCCTGGGGCGGTGCTGGAAACCTCCACTTTCCTGGAGCCTCGTGGGTACTTCTCTATCTGTGCCTCTTCAGCGGGGTGTGGGGACCATATCAGGAGACCTGGGTTTTGCGGACAGCAAAGATACACCTGGCCAGGAGCCCCAACCCAGCTGGGAGGTAGCCTGGAGGGCTGGTCAGTTACAGATCCCCACGGTCTGCAGCAGACAAGTGAGGGCGGTGAATGTAGGTTCCTTGGCCTTGAGGACATCTTCACTCCTGTAAGCAAAAGCCAGCCCCACAGGATTAGGAGCTGGGCCGGAAGTGGCTACCCTCAGGGAAAAGGCAAGCCCTGCCTCCGGCCGTGTCCACCTTTCAGGAGACCGGGGCAGGTCAGGATTTGAACTAGATGACCCCCAAAGGCCCTTGGAGCTGTGAGAGTCCTGAAATCTGCAGCATTTCACATGGTACCTGAAACCCAACAGTAGAGGAAAACATTCTTTTCCTCTGCTAGCCATGAGGCTGGGTGCCCCAGGGCACACAGGATGGAGAGGTGAGAATGAATGCCTAGACGGAGGGGCCTGCGGTCCAGTGGGGTGGGCGGTCAGGCCCATGCGCACTGCAACGCCAGGCAGAGAAATCACACGGAGGTAAAACGGAGACCAGTGTCATCTCAGAGGGGAGGGTCAGGAAGGCTTCTGGCTGGCAGGAGTGAAGGCTGGGGGCATTTTGGTGGGGGGAGAGGTAGCCTCTGGGGTGGGTCAGGGAGGGATTGGGCCCTCCCTGCTGCCACCTGCTGAAGCTGGTGACTGCGGCGTCGCCCCTTGCCCACTCCTCGTCGGCCCACTCATGATGGAGAAGTGTGGTCAGAGGGAGCAGTGGGCTTCGCCGCTTATGCCCAGAGCAGGGAGGAACCCGTTCCCCGGGCAGCCCTGCCTCCGACCCCGAGAGAGTGGAGTGAAGGTCAAGGAAGTGAGCGCCTGTCTTGGGGCCTCATTTACTCTTCATCCAGGGGACTGAGCAGTGGGGACTCCAGGAGACCCTAGATGTGCTTACACTCCCTCGGCCTGGGATTTCAGAGCTGGAAATACCGAAAATACCTAGTCCAAAGCCTTCATTTTAACAGATGGGGAAAATGAACCCCCGAGATGGGAAAGAACCACACGGCCAGGGGAGGGCCCGGGGAGCCCCACCCCAGCCCTTGCTGCCACACCACACTGCCTCAACAGCCAGCCCAGAGTGCCCAGGGGCTCCCGAAGCGGCTTCCAGAAATGGGGACAAGTCCCCTCGAAGGAAACAAAATGATTAGCGTGACAACGAGCCGCCGTCTCCCTCCTGCTCCCCGCACACAAACCCACCCTCCCCCTGGTGTTGGCGGTCCCTGTGGCCTTCACTCTGTCCACTACCTGTCAGCCCCACCGGGGGACAGCCGCTGCCAGCTCCCCATCGGTGCTAGCGTCTCTACAGGTGCGGCCCAGCAGATGGGGCAGGGCCAGCCATGTTTCTGGTGAGCCAATTCGGCTGACCTCGGGTGTGTGAACAGCTGTCGGGTCCACCCCAGTCCCACTGAGCTGCTGCTAACTGCCCTTCTGTCTCCCTAGCCCACCTTAGAGAGGTCCCAAAGAGCCCGTGGAAGAGGGAGGACTCATCTGTGGTTTATACTCACAGAAGGCGATGGGGTCTCCCTGGGTTTTGTGATGATGAACTACGTTTATCCCCTTTCCTGCCCCAACCACAAACTCTTTCCTTCAAAGAGGGCCTGCCTGGCTCCCTCCAGCCAATTGCACCCATGAGACTCGGTCCAAGAGTCCCTTCCCCAGTGGGGAGCCAACTGCCAGGGTTTTTTCCCACCAAACATCTTTCAGCTGCTGGGAGGTGAGCGTTAGACTCTGCTTTTAAAGCTATGGCCGCTTCATAGGCCAGAATCACAGGAAGGACCTTTTCCAGGGAGATTGGCGGTGACAGACGAGGAGAGTTCCAGTGACCTCATGTCCTCGTTGTCCACGGTTTTGTTGAGTTTTCACGCTTTTCATGCAAGGGTCTCACACTGTGAACCACTTAGGATGTGATCACTTTCAGGTGGCCAGGAATGCTGAATGTCTTTGGCTCAGTTCATTTTTTAAAAAAGATATCTATTTGAAAGTTCTCAGAGTTGTACATATGTTTCACAGTATGGGATCTGTACATAAAGCTTTTTGCTAAACCATTCACCAAGAGCCAATATCTAGGCATTTTCTTGGTAGCAATTTTCTTATTGCTTTAGAAAACTATTCTTGGTGTTTGTTTGTAAGATGTAAGTGAGTTAGGTCTTTAAGGAAAGCAATGCTCCTCTGAAATGCGTGTCTTTTACCTGCTGCCGAAATAGCTGGTCCTTTTTCGGGAGTTAGATGTATAGAGTGTTTGTATGTAAACATTTCTTGTAGGCATCACTATGAACAAAGATATATTTTCTATTTATTTATTATATGTGCACTTCAAGAAGTCACTGTCAGAGAAATAAAGAACTGTCTTAATTGTCATGTTTGGAATGTCCTTTGCATTGCTTGGAAGGGGTTCGCCTAGAGCCAAGGACATTGGCTCTGGTTTGGAAAATTTTGCTGTATCATAGTCAACATGCAAAGGATGTCATCATCTTGTCTTTCATTATCTATTAAAGCGGGGCTTCATTTTATCTAAGGATAATAAGTTATCTAAGGATAACCTAAGATAACCAGTTACCTGGGGATAAGAAGACTGATAAAATCACCCCATGAGTCTGCCTTACATCCATGGTCTTATTCCCAAGGACTAGTCATATGTCAAGAGCCTACTTTGCCCCACCTCAAGAGGGTGCCCATAACGGCGGGGGACGGGGGGGGGATGGTTCAAACAAAGAGATGTCATTCATATGGCTGGCCCTGTCCAGAACACGCTACATCCTCCACATTTCTAAGCCATCAGGAGGCTGTCACTTCAACTCCCCTCCCAGATGAGGAAGCCAGGCAGAAGCCGGACTCTCTCTTCCTCCCAGGCACTGTTTAGCCAGAGGCCAAACACATGTTTGACAGCAGCATGGGGGCTGAGGTGGGCATAAGGGGTCCAAAGCAAACTGGCAGACGAGAGAGGCAGACACAGGTAGAGGGCACCTCGGGCAGTGCTGGAAGGAGCTCAGGGGTCTAGGGAAAAGACGGTGAGGGGCAGTGGTTAGAGCAGGTCCAGAACTGCCCGTCTAGGAGGGTAGCCACTAGCTTCATGGGGCTACATACATTTAAATTAATTTAAATTAAATGCAATTAAAAATTCAGTTCCTCAGTCACGTTGACCACATTTCTAGTACTCAATGGTCATGTGTGTCTAGTGGCTACCATATTGATAGCTGATATAAAACATTTCTGTCATCACAGAGAGTTGTTCTCTTGATGATTTCCAAAGAGCTTCGGGGACTTACACATTGGGCTTAAAAACAAAACAGCGGCCGGGCGCGGTGGCTCACGCCTGTCATCCCAGCACTTTGGGAGGCCGAGACGGGTGGATCACGAGGTCAGGAGATCGAGACCATCCTGGTCACCATGGTGAAACCCTGTCTCTACTAAAAATACAAAAATTAGCTGGGCATGGTGGTGCGTGCCTGTAGTCCCAGCTACTCAGGAGGCTGAGGCAGGAGAATTGCCTGAACCCAGGAGGCGGAGGTTGCGGTGAGCCGAGATCGCGCCATTGCACTCCAGCCTGGGTAACAAGAGCGAAACTCCATCTCAAAAAAAAAAAAACAAAAAAACAGCCATGTCTCGTGTGCGAGTGTGTGTGTGCACGTGCATGTGTGTGTGTGTGTGTGTGCGTGCATCTGTGTATAGTCAGTCCACTTAAAGAGGCTGGCACCAGATTGTTGGCATTAAGCTGCCAATAAGCTAATATAATTGGCAGACTAGCTTTGGGTATAACATCAGCCATGCAGTAGAGAGTACATGGCCCCTACCTTCAGGAAACTTTGCCAGGAGAAAGAGATCCCATTTGCACACTCAGTCAACAGATATTTTTGCAGCCCTGCCCTGTGCCAAACACCGTGCACACAGAGGAACACAGAGTGACCCCGTGGAGAACATGAAATTATCTTCCCAATGAGTGATGCGGCAGGGTTCTAGGGCAAGGAGTGCTTGTCGCCTGGAGTGGTCAGGGAAGGTCAGTGAGTGGGAGGACAGGAGTTGGCCTGAGAGTCAGAGACGGATAAGGGAAGGGCCTTTTGTGAGAGGCACAGTCTGACAGAGGGGCAGCCATCAGGGTGTGGGCTTGAGGACACCTGGGCATAAATCAAGGATCGGTCACGAGAGGCAAAGTGGAAGGTGGGTTGGGCCAAACCCAGGGCAGGTTTTAGGGACCACTGGCTGTGATGATGAGGGGTGCGGGATTACTAGTGACTTCTCAGCCGCAAGTGTCACTGCGTGAAAGAGAGCACAGCCCGCTGGTTCAGTAGGTGCAAAGAAGAGGCATCTGGGGGGGACTAGCTGGAGCTGGTGAACAAGGGGACCCTGCACATGGCTAGACACACAGCCCAAGCAGCCAGAGGTCGCGGCGGAGGGACGGGCAGGCGCTGCAGGGTCCTTCACCATGTGTCCCTGCAGTAGTCGGCAGATCCCACAGGTAGTCACTGTGCCACGCGGCAGGTGACCAGTGGGCACATCCAGTCCCTGTCCACAGGATGATCTGCTCTGCTGACTGGCCCGGGACCGGACAGGTCAGAAAAGGGTGGCAGAGGTTTTGCCCAATACGCAGGAATGAACAAAGCAGAGAAGGGCAAAGAACATTCCTGGCGAGGGAATGCTGCGGAAAGGCCTGGAGGGAACGCACGCGGAGATGCCAGAGGAAAGCGGGTGGGGCTCCTCCCCGCAGACTGGAGGGGAGACGGTGTGGGCGGTCACTCATGGAGTCGGGGTGGCCTTAGAGGTCGGTGCAGTGACAGCTAAGAATATCTGCCTAAAGAAGATGCCAACAGCACAAAGCCAGAAGCAGATCCTGTCCCCATGCCCCCCGGCACACAGAGTGTGGCACACAGGCAGTCCCTCAGGCGGCACATGCCTGCATCTCCAGTCTGCTCACCTATCCCTTCCTCATCCCCAGTCCCCAGATGCGCCCTGATCCTCATGCCCTCTGCTGGCTCAAGGATCTTCGAGTCCTCACAGCGCGGTGGGTGACCTGGCGCAGCCTGCCCTCTCTCAGCGTGGCTGACGTCTACTCATGCTCCAGGGCAGAGCTCCACACAACGCCTTCTCTGCCCTGTGCCTGGCAGCTTCCTCCTTCCTGGCCTGGGTCCAGGGCCCTGTGCCTCGATATTGCACCCCCTATGGCAGGCTGTCACTCACTCCTTCCCCCAGACTGGAGCCTCCTGCAGTGCAGAGGCCACTGACTTTGCCGCATGTGGCAGAGTCCCGCTGGATAACGCGTGCTTGGTGTGTTGAATGAAGACATAAAGCCGATCCTGGTACCTCCCTCCTCCCTCTAGTACAGAAGCCAAAACCCTAATGCCCTCTAACCCCATCCCAGCCGTTTTAGCGTGGGGGCTAGGCAGGCAGCAGGGATTCTCTCATCAACATCAGGGAAAGGAGTAGGGCGTGGGTGGTGGGAAGGGCTTAATCCTGGGAGGGTCAAATCCACAGGCACCTGGCAGTGCCCTCATGTCCTCAGGGCTGGGGTGGGGTGAGAAGGGGGGCAGAGGTAATGGTGAGGGCGGGGGAGGCGATGGAAGGAGGGAGGAGCTCACTGTCCCACGACTTGGCCTCCCTCACAGAAAACAACCGGGAGCATCAAACAGAATCAACAACACGCTTGACTCATCTTTGAAAACTCTAAAGCAAGCTTGTCCCACCCGCAGCCAGTAGGCGGCATGCAGCCCAGGATGGCTTTGAATGCAGCCCAACACTAATTCCCAAACTTTCTTAAAATATTATGAATTTTTTTGCATATATATATTTTTAAAGCCCATCGGCTATTGTTAGTGTTAGTGTATTTTATGTGTGACCTGAGACAATTCTCCTCCTTCCAGTGTGGCCCAGGGAGGCCAAATGATTGGACGCCCATGCTCAGAAGCCTGTTACTCAGTGTGGTCCACGGGCCAACGGCATCAGCAGCATCGGCATCAGCCAGGCCTGATGGCTCACACCTGTAGCCCCAGCACTTTGGGAGGCTGAGGCAGGTGGATCGCTTGAGCCCAGGAGTTCAAAACCAGCCTGGGCAACAAAGCGAGATATCTCTACTAGAAAAAATTGCTGTGAAAATCAGCATCACCCAGGAGTATAACCAGGAGCTGGTCAGAAATATCTGCTCTCAGGCTCTCCCAGATCAGCTGAATCAGAATCTGCATTTTAAGAAGGGACCCAGGGTAGATGTTTGCACAGTAAAGTTTGAGAAGCATGTTTTTTTGTTTGAGACAAATTCTTGCTTTTTAGCCCAGGCTAGAGTGAAGTGGCACGATCTTGGCTCACTGCAACCTTTGCCCTCTGGGTTCAAGTGATTCTCCTGCCTCAGCCTCCTGAGTAGCTGGGATTACAGGTGCCTGCCACCGTGCCCAGCTAATTTTTTGTATTTTTAGTAGAGATGGGGTTTCACCATGTTAGCCAGGCTGATCTCAAACTCCTGACCTCAGGTGATCCACCTGGCTCGGCCTCCTAAAGTGCTAGGATTACAGGCATGAGCCACCGTGCCTGGCCCAGAAGTGTGGTGTTTTAAAATCTCTAAGAAACCAGGCACAGTGGCTCACGCCTGTAGTCCCAGCACTTTGGGAGACCAAGGCAAGAGGATCGCTTAAGCCCAGGAGTTCGAGACCAGCCTGGCAACATGGTGAAACCTCATCTCTGGAAAACAAACAAACAAACAAACAAACAACAACCAAAAAAAAAAACATAAAAATTAGCCAGGCGTGGTGGTACATGCCTGCGGTCCCAGCTACTCAGCAGGTTGAGGTGGGAGGATCACTTGAGCCTGGAAGGTGGAGGTGGCAGTGAGCTGAGATCACACCATTGCACTCCAGGCTGGGTGACAGAGTGAGACCCTGTCTCGAAAAAAAAAAAAAAGGCCCTAAGAGTCTAGGCAGCAGGTTTAGAATGGATTTCATAGCAGGCTGCCCGGCCATAATGACATCAAGCGTGGTGGACAGAGAGCTCCGTGCCAAGAATCAGAAGGCGTCTGCCTGCTCCCCTCGACTGCAAGATTCCTTTTTTCCTCCCCTGTCCCCACTCACTAATTCTTGAAGACAAGGAACATGTCTACAGAAAAGTTGGGCTTAGGTGTTATGCAGAGTGAGAACCTAACAAAACAATTCCGACACACAAAGGCTTAGAGAGAATAGCACGTGGGTGATCTGCCAGAACACATTACTCTACGATATTCTCTAAATCGGACAGAGAAACAAAATTACGAATTTAAAATTGGGGTAAGGGGAACAGGAATAAAAGCCAGCAGCCAACCCTAAAACCACAAAGATATTGCAATGAATTTTATAAATATAAACACAGCATTGGGTGCAAAGCCAAAAGCAATTCTGAGATAGCTGATTGTTAATATTTATAATTTTATAAACCCAGGACATGCGGTTATAACGGGCACAACAGGTACAAACAGGGAGTATGCAAAGGGGGTGATTGTGTTAAGTTCTTCATCTTCTTTTTTTGTTTGAGACAGGGTTTTGCTTTGTCACCCGGGCTGGAGTGCAGTGGCGTGATCCTGGCTCACTCAACCTCCCAGCCTCAAGCAATCCTCCTACCTCACCCCCTGAGTAGCTGGGACTACAGGTACATGCCACCATGCCCAGCTATTTTGTAGAGATGGGGACTCACTGTGTTGCCCTGGCTGGTCTCAAATTCCTGAGCTCAAGCGATCCTCCCACCTCAGCCTCCCAAAGTGCTGGGATTACAGATATGCACCCACATGCTCAGCTTCTTCATCTTCTCTTGTGGGAGGAAAATGTCTTATGTTGTTCTAGACATTAACAGATTTATAATTATAGTTTTAAGGAAAACCAAAACTACTGATAATGAATAGCATTTAAAAATGAGACATCTCCTTACCACTGCAGAAAAAAAAACAAACGAAATACAGTCTCCATAAAGAGACGACAGAAAGATGACATGACAATGACCACACAGCACCCGGGTAAAGCAGGGTCCAGCCACTACAGCAATAACAGCAC